CTCTTAAAGATCCCACCAAGTCTCATCTTTTAATCTCATAACAAGGACTAAATTTCGACATGAGTCTCATAAGGAGAAAAACCTTCCTCCAACTGTACCAATTACTTTTACTATAGAACTGATGATCACAGATGGAGCTGATTCCAGCTGGATGCAAGCCTTTCAGAAATCAGTCTCCTTACATGCTCTCAAGAGATAATTACTCTGAAGCCTGGGAATGTGCTCAGTGAGCAGAGTGCTTGCCGAGCATGCAAGAAACCCTGGGTTCAGTCTTTGGCACTACATAAAATTGGGCTTGAGGGGTGGAGGCAGGAAGATCAGAGGTTCAAAGGTCATCTTCACTTCAGCTATGTACTGAGTTCTAGGGTACCCTGGGATACACTGGATCATAGACTGTCTCAGCAGGAAAAAAAAAAGATAATCACTCTTATCATATGTGTATATGAGTGTTCAGGTGTGCATGTGTGTATGTGTGTGTATAGGACAGAGGACACCATTGGGTGTTGTTTCTCTGGTACTGCTCACCTTAGTTTTTTAAAATTACATTTTGTTTCTTTGTTTATTGTGTTTGTGTGCACATGTGCATAGCATGGTGCATATGTGGAGTTCAGAGACAACTTGCTGGAGTCAGTTCTTTCTATTGTGTGGGTCCCAGGGATGGAATTCAGGATATCAGGCTTGGCAGCAGGCATTACCTGCTGAACCAGCAACACTTTGTTTTATGAGACACTGTTCCTCACTGGTCTGGAACTCATCAAGTAGGCTATTCTCACTAGGAATCCACTTTACCACAATGTTGAGGTTTTAAGTGTGTTCCATCATGTCCAGCTTTTCAAAAATGGGTTCTGTGCTGGGCAGTGGTGGCACACACCTGTAATCCCAACACTCAGGAGGCAGAGGCAGGTGGATCTCTGTAAGTTCGAGGCCAGCCTGGTCTACAGAGCTAGTCCAGGACAGGCTCCAAAGCTACAGAGAAACCCTGTCTCGGAAAAAAAAAGAATAAAAATGGGTTCTGTATGGAGAGATGGCTCAGGGATGAGGAGCACTGGCTGCTTTTCTGGAGGACCTGGGTTCAATACCCAGCACCCATATGGCAGCTCACAGCTGTCTGTAGCACCAGTTCCAGAGGACCTGGCACCCTCACACAGACATACACACAGGCAAAACACAAATGCCCATAAAAATAAATAAGTCTTATAAAAAGTAGATTCTGTGGCATTCAAACTCAGATCCTTGGTTAGTGAACTCAGGTCTTCATGCATGGAAGGCAATTCTTTTCCAATGAGTCATCTACCCAGCCTGGTAATCACTCTTGGTCAGGAGCCAGCTGGTCATGTTGGTACTCCCCTCTAAACTCAGCACTCAGGAGGCTGAGGTATAAGGATTGAAAGTTCAAGATCAGTCTGGGTTACATACTGAGTTTTGGGTCAATGTGGAATGTATAGAAAAATTTCTCAATTATGATGATAATGATGATGTTAGTGCTAAGTGGGGCAGAGCTCAGTGGTAGAATTCTTGGAGCTCTGGGCTTGGTCCTTAGCATTGTGAAAAAGTAAGAAGCTGGGCATAATAGTAGTGTGTTCCTGTAACCCCAGCAATCGAGAGGTGAAGGCAGGAGGATCGGGAGTTCAAGACCAGCCTGGGCTACATTGAGAGTTCAAGACCTGCTGTAGTTACATAAGACTTTGTCTCAAAAAACAAAACAAAATAATAATAATAGTAATGATATGTCAGTAACATTTCCATGCGTCTTTTAACATGACTATATGTGCATAAATAACATATACTTTTGGCATATGTGGAACATTTGCATATGTGACACCATGCTGTTCTATTCTGAAGCTAAATTTGGAGTCAAACTGCTTGGGTTTCAATTCGGTCTGCTAAGGATCTGTCTCTTTGCAGGGTGATGAAAATGTCTAAAATTATCCATGATAGTTTCACATTTCTTTGAATACACTAAATTCACTTTACAAGAGCAAATCATATAATACACAAATTATATCTTAACAAAAGTATTATAAAATAGATACAGGTGTTTAGATCCCCCAAACCCACATAAATGCTAGGTGCATGGTGGCCCAGATGTAATTTCAGCCCCAGAAGGCAGACATGGTATTCTCAGGGCATGCTGGCTAGTCTGACCATCCATATCAGTGAGCTCCAGGTTTGACTGAGAGCCCCTGCTTCAGTGAATAAGAGCAAGGGACATCAAGGATGATTCCTGCATCAACCTCAGGTCTTCACAAGCATGTGTACACATATGCGCCCTCTTCCCAAAACAGGCATACGTGTAAATACACACACACACACACACACACACACACACACACACACACACACCACTGAAAAGGGAAAGAATAGACACCAATGAAAAATGGTATGTGAAAAAAATCCTAGTTGTGCAATGTGTAAGTCTTGGGTCCTTGGTTTGAGTATTTGAAAAGCTTCCTTTGCCCCTATGTTCTTGACTATAAAATAAGACAATCACAGTATCTCTGTCGCTTGTTTGTGATGCTAGCCAATGAGTAAGAACACTTAGGACAAAGTGAGGGAGTAGAGCTGACATGACAGTGCTCAAGACACATGAACGTTGAATACAGTTGCT